AATTAATATTGTTGTTAAAATTAAATATGAGGATATAATAAACAAACATACAACAATATGAATTTATGAATTCTTTTATTATATTTTAATCTATATGACAATTATTTTAAGTTATTATTATTGTCATAGTTATAGAAAAATATGAAAGAAAAAAAATAAATGATTTAAAATATATTGATGATTATAATTTTTTTTGCAGGTGCAATAATACATTTGCATTTTGTAAATACTATTATTTTAAATGATTTTGAGTAACAAAATTATAATTTGAAACAATATAGATCACTTTATATATATTATATAATATATAAGAATAAATTATTATAAAATTATAATAAATCATTCATTTATAATTTCTTTTATTTTCTATTGATTTTTAAAAATTTAAATAATAAATTATAGTAAATTATTTTCAAATTATGTTTAAATTATCTTTTTTAAAATTAACCCTTTAAAGATGTTATAAATAAATTAATATCCTGTAATATACTATATAATATTGATAATTCCCACATTATGTGCAGACACAAAATTTATTATATTAATTGATTATATTATGTTACAAAGAAAATTATCTAACTCAGTATTTCTAATAATATTTTTTATGAATCATCATAAATATGTAGAACATAATGGATTATACATAAAACAATTTTTTAACAATCTATAAATATCTTTAAAGAAATCAATGCAGTTTTTATTTTAATATTATTTTTATAGTTTATATCTTTATTTTTTAAGTTTAACTTTCTAATAATTAAGTTAGAATAAAACTTTTCATATAAAAAGTATTTCATTTTTAATGTTAATCATTTTTATATTTCTCTATTATGAAAAATATTTCTAGACAACATTATCTCCAAAATATCAAAAATACTAAAAGTTTGACATTAATTTCATTTTTCAAAAAAATATTTTATAATCCTTTTATATGCACTTTATATAATTTTATATATATACCTATAACTTTTTAACTTAAACTTTCATTAAAATCAGAATTACTAAATTAATAATATATAATAATTCATTTTCTTGTAAAATAATGTATGTTTCATTTTATTTAAATTATTTTTTGCTTTTTTAAATATTTTATTAAATAATTACATAAAAAACAATAATCAATAAATAACAAATAATTATAAATACATGAAAACATTATTTACAAAAACATTATTATTCTATTTATTATAAAATGAGATAATTAAGTTACTGATATTCTATAAATTATCTATATAAAAATAGTAAGAATCATAAGAATTATATATAAAAATAGAAAGAAATGTCATAAGAATATTGACAAAAGAATATAAAAACTTACCATATTTTTTAAATTTATTATATTTTTATTGAATATTTTTATTTTTATACATTAAAAGCATAACTAATTTTTTTTTGTTATTATTAATTTTCATTTATATATATACATATATTTATTTAACCTCTTTCACTTAAAAATAGAAATCTTATTTTTTTTATTTTTGCTCGTGTATTTATTTAAAAGCTATAATTTTGTTTAAAAAATGATTTAATTTATTTTATACTAATATGTGCTTAAATCAATATAAATATTTTAAATATTTTAAAAAAATATTATAATTTTGTCTACCAAATCTACCAAAAGTTTATATATTTCTTTTATCACTTTTTACGTTTATTTTTATTACATTTTGTATATTACTTTTATTTATTTGAAGTATAATACTTATACATTATTTACATGATTATTAAAAATATTACTCGAATCAATTTTCTTAAAAAAATATTAATTATATTTTAACTTTCCATTTATCGCAATAATAGGATTTTTTATCTAGTGAAAGATATCAAGTTCAATATTTATTTGTAATTTATTTTAAAATAAACTATTATATACGTAACTGAATCTATCTATTAAAAAATAAATAAATCTATTCATAAATATTTTTATTTCTTTTATAAATGTAATAGATATAGAAACAATAAAAATAATATATAATAGTAATATTTAATAATAATAATGCATATTAAAATTTAATATAAATTATTTTAATATATATACAAATTTGTAGAAATAATTTAGTAATAATATATTTTTAAGAAAAATTTTAATTATATACTTTATTTATATTTAAATTTAAATTTAATTATTTCAAAAACTTACTTCATTATAAAATATATAGTTTTAAATTTAAGTATGATTGAAATAAAATATAGTTAAATCTTTATTCGTATGTTGAAAACATAGACCAGATGGAGTTACTTGTCTAGTGAATACTTTAAAAGTTTTGAGGTTATAGCAATTTTCTACAAGGACAACATTATCGTGATATAGGATTGTTTAGGCAGAAAGTCGTCCTTTCATTCGGACGAAAGATAGACTATTTAAATTAATTATGTGAGCAATTAAAGCTCACTGACTAATTCTATGTCGATGATATGTCGGCTTCAAACAACGTTAAAATGCAAGCATACAGATTGGCCTATCTGGCCGTCTGACAAATATGAATTTATGGAATAATTTTGTAACGTTAATAATCGATCATGGTCAAGGAAAAACCAAATTCAATCCGTATTTACGATTCAGAAGGTTATAGACGTAGAGCTGCATGTATCTGCGTTAAAAACGATCTTGAAGATGAGGTAAGCCAGCAGATGGCACTTGGTATTTTTCCTTTCATTAATTCTGTATTTTTATTTTAATATCAGTTATTGCATTATTATATTTCTTTCTAATACGAAATATGTATAAATTAAATTTTTATGTAATTTATGATATAGGTACTTTTGGTTACATCCAGTCGTAGACCTGATAGTTGGATAGTACCTGGTGGAGGTGTTGAACCAGAAGAAGAACCTGCAGTAACAGCATTGCGAGAAGTTCGAGAAGAGGCTGGTGTTTTAGGACAATTAGGCAGATGTCTTGGTATATTTGAGGTATTAATATTTTCATATAAAATATAATTATTTGTTTAATATACATAAAGCATGTAAAACATAATAAGCATATACATAATAAGAAAAATTCTAATATATTTTGAGCATAAAGAAAAAAATGTTATAAAAATAATTTTTTTTTTAGAATGTGGAACATAAACATAGAACACAAGTATGGGTTATGAGAGTAACCGAAGAATTGCCAGAATGGGAAGATTCACGCGCTATTGGTCGAAAACGAAAATGGTTCTCTATACCAGAGGCCTTGCTTCAGCTTGCTCAGCACAAGCCCGTCCAACGTTCTTATATACACAGCCTCCACAATACTAATCCTCGACATAATCCTAACATTTCACCATCTCATCATTCACATACCACTGTAACATCTATTCAATTAATGAATAATTCTAGTAACAATCCTCATTTAAACAAACATAGCTAATATTAAATACCATCCATTTGCGTGAACAATTGCTATTGTGTTAGATATTTGTTACTGCTCCTTTTCTTTCATATAGTTATAACTATTAAAAAAATTATATTTTATATTTAAAATGTACATTCTTTTTTTCTTATTTTTCTTTCCATTCTTTAATCTTTTTTATTTGTATTACAATCTCGGTGGATCTTGTTCTTATAACTACTAGTACTACTATTATATAATTACTGCTATTATTACTATTACTACTATTACTACTATCATTAATATTGCTATTCTACTATTAATACTATTATTATACTACAGACACTATTATTATTATTATTTTTATTATTATTATTATTATTATTATTATTATTATTATTATTATTATTATTATTATTGTTATGATCATCATTATCATCATCATCATCATTATTAATTGCAATCATTATTTTTTTCCTATCATTGATGTTATATTTATTCATATAAATTAATTAAAAACTGATCCATAAAGGAGCAGTTTCTTCAATTTAGTTCTCACTTTTATTATAATTTCAGGGAAATATTTCATACATAAATAAGTACATAATTTTCATACGTAAAGTGGATGGTGTTTTATGTAAAAAAAAAAGTTCCATAATTAGAATATTTCTCTCATGTTGTTTAAATATATTCAAAGAATGTTATAAAATCTCATAATGAAACACATATCTGTACTTCAAGAATTTGTTTTGAAAAAAAATTTTGTTGGTATGTGATTATGCTTTGAATTTGTTTATATAACAATTATAACATTTTGCATATTATAATTAATAGTTTACAGACTGAATCTTTTCAAAAATTATAGTAAGGATTGTTTAGAATTATATATTTAAAAAAAGTAAAATTTTTCTCTATATAGAGTGGTCCAAATAAACTATTTCAAGCTGTTTTCTTAAAAAGTAATGAAGATATTAACTTCTTTTTTCTTGAATTAAATGATGGCTAATTCTTTAATATGCAACAAATTTTTAAGATAATTTTTGAAGAAAAAAAAGAAAATCTCTTTAAATTTTTTAAATGAAAGATTATATATTTTTGTTTCCTAGATAACTATCAAACTAAATAAGATTTAGTTGCACTATTTTTTTGTACATAATTATAGAATTATGGAAAAAATTTTTTTTCTGTCTTTTTTTCTTTATTAAAATGAAAAAAAAAAACAAAAAATAAAAAATATTAAGAGTTAATTTATTATATTCTTATATATATTATTCAATTTGATAAAAAAATTTATCAAATTAGAATTATCTAAAGAATAAAAAATTAATACTTATCATTTAAAAGAAATCTATCTATGAAATGTTCTTTTTTTTCCTTAATAGTTTTAGAAAAATTTGTTACATACAAAAGATTAAAATTTGTATTTCATCTTCTGAGAAAACAGCTTGCAGCATTTTATTTTAAACTACTTTGTATATGTCATTAAAAAACATTAGTACGAAAACTATTTAATGTAAAATGAAATATAAATATGTGGTTGTATCATGAATTTTTTAAATTTCATTTTTTATAATTTATATATTTAAATTTTTTATAACTTTTCAAATGTCATTAGTTAAATGTTATTATAATTTCATTGTTATTAATGTCATTAATTTTTATTGTTCCATATTGATTCGCACAAAAAGTTGCCAATAAAATGCAATGAAAGAGTATTCCAAAAATTGAGTAAGATAAGTCAGTTTCATAGTTTCATATATATATATATATGTATATATATGTATAGATCTTGCGTTTTCGGACGTTATCCACGTGCATTGGTATTACAAAGAGGTAAATTTTTAAAAACTTATTAATAAATTTCTTACAACATCCCATTTTTTTTAGATAATATATTAAATTAAAAAATTATAAATGCTAATATGAGAAAATGTTTATTATTTTTTTGTATATTGTTATATTATTTCCTATATAAGGTTAGGTTATTTAAATAGATTTTTGATTATTCAAATATTCTTTTACTATTCTTTGTAAGATATTATTATTATTTTTTTTTTTATGTAAGAAATTTGTAAAAAAAAATGGAATGTGAATCAATGCAAGAGATTGATGAGAATATGGAAGAAAATAGCAATGATAGTGACAAAGAAGATTCTACAGAAAATGATGAAGTACAAGAAAAAAAAATATATCTTCCTGGAAAGCCTTTGAGAAAAGAAGAAGAACTTGTGGTGGATAAAACAGCATATCGAATGTTACATCATGCACAATCTGGTGCTCCTTGTCTTAGTTTTGATATAATTTTAGATAATTTAGGTAATAACAGAGAAGATTATCCATTAAGTATGTATCTTGTGGCTGGAACTCAAGCTGCTAAAACACATATTAATAATCTTCTTGTCATGAAGATGGAAAATTTGTATAATATAAAGGACGATTCTGATGATGAATCAGATGATGAATTAAATGATGAAGATCAAAATAAACCAAAAATGTCTATTGCACCAATAAAGCATCAAGGTTGCGTCAATAGAGTTAGGTAAATATTTAATTATTAAATATTTTTATTACTTTTTTATACTTTTCAACTATAACAATATAAATAATTTTTTTAGAAAACATAATTTATTATTAAATAATATATAAAATATTATTAAGTGATATGTAATATTAGAAAAAATTAAGAAAATAATTAAGAAAAATGTAGAAAATTTAATGAACAGAAAAATATTATAATATATAAATTGTATATATAAATATAATATTTATTAAAAAATTGATTAAAAGAAAAAAGATATATTAAAAGATAAATTAATAAGACACAATAAATAAAATAAAATAAAGAATAAAAAAAAATATGAAGATAATAAGAAATAAAGAAGATAAATCATAAATAGTAATCAAATAATTTATAATTTATTGAATGGAAAAGTGTTTTATATAAAAGTTACATAGTATAGAAGAAAAAAACTTAGTGTTACTAATTTTTTTGCAAGAAAATATATAAGAGACATATGAAGATTAATTTCCTTTTTTTATTTGGAATTTTGTATTTTTTAATATATTAATGTAAATTATTTTTTTTTAAATTAGGCTATTTAATGTAAATATCTTTCATATAATAAGTTAATTAAAATTAGGTTTAAGTTAATTATTAAATTTATAATTTTTTACAATAAATGATTTATAGTTTTTTATAAAATAATATATGAATAGTGTAAATATATAATTTTGTATAACATTGCATTAAAAAATATTAAATTTCAATTAAAAAATTTAATCTTTAAATATCTCGTATGATTAATATATAATACTACAAAAAATATACAATATAATATTACAAAAAAATTAATAATATTAAATTGTTTTTTTTTTATACTTCAGGGAAGGTTTTGAAACATTATTTTATATAATAATATGAAATAATATATTTTAATTATATTATATATAATTATTATAGTAATAATTTATAATTTTTTAAAACAACTATTGTAATATTACATTATAATATGATTTACGATATGTTATTTATATATATATATTATATATATATATATATATATAAGTATTAATATATTCGTGAGATATCCTTAAAAGGACACTTCTAAAGATTAAAACAAATAACAAAATTAGAATATAAAAATGTTAATTAAATTTATCTATTTAAGTAATTTAATTTAATTAAGTTAATTAAATATGTATTTAATAATAATTTAATCAAATAAGTAATTTATTTGCATTAAATGAAAATAATAAATGGCTAGATAATGTAAGAAAATTACAAAAAAAAGTTGACATTGAGTCAACTTTTGTTGACTTTGAGTTGAATAAAATAAAAGATTCAATAAACAAAATATAAGAAAATAATAAACAATGGCAAAGCATTGGATTAAATCTAAATAAAAAATAAATTCTATGAAATTATTCTTAATAAGATATTATTAAATTAAGTGTGAATATTGAAACTGAATCCAAAAAAACATGGTAAGAATATAGTAAGAAAAAAACAAGAATGTGATTAGAAATTATCTATTAGAATTTTAAATTTATATTAATATGAAGTCAAACAAAGAATAAAATTATTCTATCTTTATTGTCTTCTCACTCTGTTTCTATTTCACTTCATTAATAAATTTCAATTGATTATAATTTAACAAATAAGCTTCAATGATTTTTATATCCACTTTCATTTTAATTTTATTATTATTATTATTATTTTAGCTTAAAATCAAACCTACAAAGATATCTCAAGAATATATTAACATCATTATAAAAATAATTGTAGGATTGTAAAAACACATAAAGATTATATTTGAAATTGAATAAAAATAACATTTAAATAAGGACAAAAGTATTATTTAATTTTATTATTTAAATATCTTTTAGCTAATATAATGAAAATGGAAAAAATTTTAATATTTAATAAAAATATTAAAAAAATTTAATAATTATAGTATAATATATAATATAATTATATAAAGTTTATAACTTTTAAATTATTATTATATATATTATTAAACTATTGTATGAATGATATTGAATGATAAATAAATTATTAATTAAAATATATTTTGTTTTAATAGATATACAAGAATTGGAAAAAAAACTTTAGCAGCAAGTTGGAGTGAATTAGGTCGTGTACATATTTGGAATTTAGATAAACAATTAAATGCACTTGATAATGATGAATTACTTCGTATATATCGTAAAAAATATGAAAAAAATGATGAGAATATCAAACCATTATTTAGTTTTAAAGGACATCTTTCAGAAGGATATGGACTTGATTGGTGTTCAACAGAAATAGGCATGTTAGCTTCTGGTGATTGTAAGGGTAATATTCATATATGGAACATTAGTGATAATGATAATTCTCCAACATGGCATGTGGATCAAAGACCTTATAATTCACATGCACCACATAGTGTTGAAGATATTCAATGGTCACCAAATGAAAGACATGTACTTGCTTCATGCTCTGTTGATAAAAGGTATGATTTTGATTAAATTTATAAAAATTTTTATAAATTTTTATTGAATTTGTAAATTCAAAATTATTTTTAATGTATATTTTATTACTCACTTTAATATTATATGTTTTTAATATATTTTTATAATTAAATTTTATATGTAACAGTATTAAAATTTGGGATACAAGAGCAAGTCCACAATCTGCCTGTATGTTAACAGCATTTGGTACACATACTGCTGATGTTAATGTTATTTCATGGAATCGTAAAGAAACTCAGTTTCTTGTGTCTGGTGGTGATGATGGTTTGATTTGTGTATGGGATTTACGTCAGTTTGGTTCTAATGGTTCAAGTCCATTAGCTATATTTAAACAACATATTGCACCTGTTACAACAGTAGAATGGCATCCTCAAGAAGCCACTGTGTTTGCTTCTGGTGGAGCTGATGATCAAATTGCTCAATGGGATTTATCAGTAGAAGCTGATGAATTAGAAGAAATAGAACATAGTGAATTAAAGAAATTGCCACCACAGTTGTTATTTATACATCAAGGTCAAACTGATATAAAAGAATTGCATTGGCATCCTCAATGTTCTGGTACTATAATATCAACAGCTCATTCAGGATTTAACATATTTCGTACAATTAGTGTATAATAAATCTATTTTTTTAAGAATATAATATTTATAAAATAATTTCTACAATTATGATATTTTTTATTGACTTCATTTATAATATTAAGTAAGAAAATTTCTTTAAATATTTTTAAAAATGCATTTTTTATCTTATTATTTGGGTCTTCAGAAAATTTGAAAAATAATTCTAGATTACTAAAACATTAAAAATATTAAAATAAACATGAAAGTTAATATACAAAAATATTGATTAAGATTTATTTATTAAGTTATAAGTAATTTAATTTTGCACTAAATGAAGCGAGACGAGGATAGAATGTCATAAATATAATATGTCTTATTTTATTGCTATTTCACTTCTAATACAAAATTAAATTAAAAATAAAAAAAAATAAATATAAAAAAAAATATTTTTTAATCTAATTTATAATTAACTGAAATTAAAAAAATTATAATTATCAATATATTCCGATTTATTTTTCATCAAATAAATTTTTCTTATTGGTCATTTAAACGATTTTCTATTTATTAATTATATGTATATTTTTTACTTTCGTATTAACTAGTTATTTATTTAATTCTGATCTTAGAGCTACTTAAGCAAGGACTTTTCTTGAATATTATGTATGAAGAAATGAATTCATATACATTTAAAAGTTTTTAGAGTAAGAATATACAAGATAATCATAAAATATAAAACAAAACTGAAATAATCGATTTTCTTATTTATTTTGTAAAATTTTCTATTTTTGTCAAATATGTATAATAATACTAGAATAAAGATATTAATATAATACATAAAATACTAATATATGATTTATTAGTATATAAGATTTAATGATAATAAATGTCTTATTGTTGGTCTACCATGAGGACAACTCCAAGGATTTTTCATTTGTGCCATTTGAGTAATTAATTTTTGCATATCACTATTATTGAGAGCTTTACCAATCATGACTGCTCCACGACAAGCTCTTGATGCTAACATTTGTCTTACTCGACTTGGACGAAATATACTTTTTTCTTATTTTCTATTCCACTTTCTCTAATAAGAAAAATCAATTCTTCAATATCTTCTTGTCCAAATTGCCAATAACCACTAACTGGTATTCCTGTGAGTTGAACACGATGACCAGATTCAGCTAAAATATTTATGTAATATTTGAAATTATATTTATCATATATTATTATGTATTTTGTATATGAATGAACAGTTTAAATTTATTAAATCATCTACCTTCAGAATTTATTTTAAAAAAAAACCATTATCTTCAAATGTTTTTTGATTTTCAATTAATATTGTTTCATTAACTGCAGAAATATTTAAAAATTTAGGAATAATTAATTTTTGAGTTTTTAATTGAGTTTCATTATTGAGTTTTTCAAAACGATATTTTTCATCACTAGCATGCTGATCAATAATAAAAAGATCTTCTTTTAAACGTGTTATTATAAAACCAAGATTAAATTGACCTATAATCTCCATCTATAAAATATTTTTGTTTTAGTCTTAAAAATTTTTATAAAATAATAAAAAATAATTAAAATTATATAATTTAATAAAACATAAAACCTATAACCTTGAAAAAAGAATCTTTTGTTAATTGTGTTTTCAATTCATTTTCAGCTTTTGAATTTTCATTTGCTTCCATTTTTGCCTTAAATTTGATTGTTGTATTTGAAGTCACATATTTCGGTAAAATATTTTGTTTTTCTTGAAGTTTTTGTTTTATTGTTAAAATACTTATTGGCATTTCTATGCTATTTAATATTTTTGTTTCATTTGATATGTTATTTTGTGAATTATCATATTCAATAATTTTATTTTCATTATCAGATTGTATATTTTGTCTTATTGTATATTTTGTATTTGATATTTCATTTAATTTATGCAATCTTTTTATTGATCGATCTTCATTTGTAGGTGAAATTGTTCTTTTTATTCCAAAATTTAATTTAGATAGAGGATTTACAGTTAAATTTCCTTGTAATTTATCCCACTTAGATGTTAAACTATATTTTAAAGTTGCTAATATTAAATTTTCTTGTGTACAAAAAATAGTTCTTTTATTTGGAGTTACATTAATATCAGTTGAATATTTATTTAATTTTAAATTCAGAAAAATGAACGGATATTGTTTATTATTATATTTGTGATAAATTTGATTTATTAATTTACCAATTTTTATTAAATCACATGGCCGACCATTTATATAAAAAAACTGTCTATCAGAAGTAAAACGTCCAACATCATGTTCACAACTACTAATATAGCAATCCCATTCAAAATCTACAATTATACTATTTGGTAAATTATATTCTTGTAATGTCAGTTCATCAGGAGATAATAATTCAATTTTAATAAGTCCATTTGAAGATTTTTTGCCAAATATTATATTAATATTATTTAAAATGTTACTAGAATTAACAGTATTAACTACAAGATTAGAAGTTTTGCCTGAGACAGAATTAGTACACGTTATCTTTGTTTCAGTAGAAATCAAGCAATAACTATACAATATTTGAATAGCACGAATATATTCCTTTTTAAGATTTCTTTGAAATTCTTTTACTCTCACAGGAAGACATTTAAATATATTTTTCACATGTACAGTTGTTCCTATTTCTCTTGCACATGGTTCTTTTTTTTGTAATAAACCATTATGATCAAATTGTAGTTTAAAACCATGTTCACTTGTACAATGTCTTGTAATAATACTTAATTCAGCTAAAGAACAAAGTGAACTAAGAGCTTCTCCTCGAAATCCAAAAGTATTTACTTCTGTTAAATCTGAGAATTCTCGAATTTTAGAAGTATGATGTTTTAATCCTGTAAAATAAAATGAAATATAAGTGTAAAGTAAATATAAATATAAAATATAAGTGTAAAAAAATATAAGTGTATAATATATTGTAATACATTAATGTGTAATATAATAATATAATATACTGATATAAAATATAATAATATTCATAATTTTTAAATCATTTCAAATCTATCAAAAAAAGATAATATACACAATTAATTAATCTTATTTAATCTTTATTATAAATTGAGATAATTAAAACTTTTAAAATAATTGTAAAATAATATTAAAAATACAAGTGTTTATTCTGTTATTTTTTAATAAAATTATAATATTATTATTAATATTTTTATATAATATTAATAAAATTAATATTTATTCTTTTAATATTTTAAATAAATATTAAATTAATTCAATAATAATTTAGATTTTGTTTAATGTACTGTCATAAGAATTTTCAAACTTGTGATGTATTATAATTTTCTTTAATAATAACATTTTAGATTGCTATGAATCGGTAAAAAAGAAAAAATATTTTATCGAAATCATATATTTATGTTTTATTATTTTTTCATTTCATTTATATAGTTTGAAAATATTTGAAATTTTGTTGTATAAAATATCAGTATAATTTGTTTTTTTTTAAATTATATTTAAAAATATGTTATTAAAAAAGATAGAATCAGGTGCCTTTAATGCAAAATATAAAATTAAGTATATAGCTATAATTTCAATTGTTAGTAAAAAAAAACTGTTAACAAATGTATTTTAATTATAAAAATCTATTTTTCTACTTTTTTTATTTTGTTTTATCCTACTTATTTTATACAATTTCTATTCTTTTTGCCATGTTATATGATCTGTATATATATTTGTGAGAAAATTGGATTGCGATCGAACTAAAAATATTAGCTTTTTTTAATTTATAATAGCAATTAATAACAACTAATTTTTTTCTAAATATTTATAATTTTTCTAAGTAAATAAAAGATTTTTATAATACAATAAACAAAATTTTAAATTAATTTTACAAATAAGAATTAAAATGAAATGTTTTGCAAAATATGATTTCAAAATAATCGTCAAGTACCATTGTTTCTTAGCTAAATCTTGATATTATTATTATAGACTATGATGATGTAATTATAATAAATATTAAAATGAATATTAAAAATTATCAATTAAAAATAATAGTAAAGAGTTCATAGAGAACTTCTTATTATTATGATTCACAAATTAAGAACCATTAATTTAAGATAGCATATAAAAAAAAATTTCTTTTCTTTTATTTTCTAAATTTCAAAAAATTTGAAAAAAAAATAACAATCATTTTCTCAAAAAAAAGATGAAGTTATAGAAGTTTTCTAGTATCTCCTCTCTGATTTCGGTGATTTTTAAATATGGAAGATAAAATTCTTTTTATACTTGTGTGTGCACGCGCGCGCGTGTGTGTATATATATATATACTTAGCTGTTAGTCAAATTTCGATATATTTGAAAGAAAGAACAAAAAAGATTGTTACTATTTATCAAATTTCATCAATATATCTATAATAACATGTACATAAGAAAATTTTATTTATTTTTTGTTAATGACATTTTCTTTCTTTCATTTTTCTCTTAGAAATATCAAATAATCTTTGTTTTTAATATGATGTAATGATGTATGTAATTTGTTATTAACCCTTTTTTTTTTATTAAAAGACGATGATTTTAAAAATGCTCTATTATGAAATTCTAATAAACTTAAATCTAATATTTAGCTATTAGTATATGAATATGCATAATTTAATCGCAACGAGGAATTGCATAGATAAATCTATAAATATAAATAATAAAATAAATTCATATGTTTTATTTGATTTTGTTTTCGAATCTTGTTTTATAGTGAATTTTAAAATAATTTTATCGAAAAATAGAACTAATAGAAGATTCAATATCAAATATTTTTTGTATAGAACGCAATTTGACAATACGAATATTTGCAGAAACGAAGTGGATAAGATAATCAATTAAATATTTTCAAACTTGTATTCAAGTATAAAAAAATTATTTTGAATATCTCCTAAAATAAATAGATACAGTATATTAAATAAGAAATAGAATTGATATGTATATGCATACAATAAAATTGATATAATTTTTAAAAAACTACAATCAAAATTGATATAAGTCAGAATTTTTTTCAATCATAATTATTTTAATATTATTATTAATATTATTATTATCTTATCGATTCTTTAAAATTATTTCAAAAAACCGATATATAATAATTTGAAAGAGTGATTTCAGAAAACGTTCCAATCTCTTGAAAATAGACATACGAGAAAAGTACTTTGGTAGCTGAAAACATAAAACTGCAAAAGATTGAATTGAAAGTTATAATGTTTTTAATTTTCATATAATATTTTATTTTTTAGTAAAATTGTTTATTTTTAACTTCGTAAAATATTTTTCAAAAACTAATAGATAGAGTATTTTTTTGATTTTAGATTCATGTTTATTAAAAAATATTACTAGAATCATCTAATGGATATCACAAAATAAAACAAAAAATTTTCTTCGTTAGACAATAGTCAGAATAAAAAATTATATTTTCAAAAAGCATATACTTCGGATTGATTTGAAGAAATTAATGAAGGTATATTCTAAATCTAAAAATTATTTTTTTCCTAGATATAATAAAAAATTTATATAATTTAAAAAATTTATTCATAATACATAAATTAAAAAACAGTATAATATATTGAATTTTGCTTATATAATAGTTATAACTACTAACACTTTATTCGTCGCGTCGTCGAATGTCGAAAAGAAGATATAATTTAATAATAATATTAATAATCTTAAAAAAGTGTCTCAAATAAAATTGATTATATTGATAACTTCAGTCAAAAAATATTTTAATGAAAATATCAATTTAATATAAGAATATTCATTATCCGTAATAGATGTATACATATTTAATATATTAAACAATATATATATATATATATTTATTCTTATTATTTGTTATAGATTATTAAAGATATTAACTAAATTTAAAATAATCTAGAATTAGTTAAGGCAACTTTTTTTTTTCTTAATGTGCAGCACTCCAGATTAATAATTGTATTGTTATATAAAAATAGACTATAATATGTTTTCTTTGTCATTTTAGCAGATGATCAACTATTCTAAAACAATCATTATGTCGCTAATATATATGGGACATCTATAAAAACTATTATTACTATTATGTTATTGGCGACGTTGACATTCGACGACTTGTATAAAAACAATTGTATTAATTATGTTTATATAGAATTCAATATATTAAATAAAAAATTTTTTATTAATATTTCGAAAATAATTAAAAATTCAAAGTTAAAATTTTAGATTTAGGATCTCTTCCTTTCCATTTTTCTAATTTCCATTTCATGCTAATCATGCAATATAAATATACGTTTTTTAAAAGAATAACTCGATAAAATTTTTTGACATCAAGGATATTTTTTTAAGAAAATTTTTTTTTGATTTTTTAGCATTTAAATGTCTTAATCTATATTATCAAATAATCAATTATAAATGATAATTAATAACAGTTTATATTAATTGTATAAAATATGAATATTAAAAAAAATCAATGTAAAGAAGATGTATATCAATGTAATATCTATTCCTTTATTGACTATATTGTATCGTATATTCGGATTAGTAAATATTCATAAAAAATAGTTTATTAAAATTCAAATTCAATTTTTTTTTGATGCATTATATTCTAAAATAGTAATTATCAATTATCAATATGTTATTGATATCTTATTCAAAGTTTTTTTATTGATATATTGAAAATATTGTTAAGATTTATAATAAAAGTGACTAGTTTTTACTTTTTCTTATTCTTAATTATCATTAAGAATTAGAAGAATCTTAATTATCATTAAGATATATATATTATTAAAAGCATTATTTGTAAAAATAATAAAAATGAATAAATTTTATTGGAAAAATATGATGATCACTTCAACCATTTCTATTTATGTTTATTACTTCTATTTATTACTTTTATTTATGTTATTAATATTTAACGATTTTGAATATTTTGAACATATCAAATATTTAATCAAATATTACAGGTAATCATTAAAAATATCTTATAACTTTAAATAAGAAAAATTTATAGTTCCATTTATTTTCAGTTGTTATTAAGTACAGTCCAATAGTGACTTTCCGATACTACTTGGATTGCAATTCGAACGGCGATAATATTTATTTATGTTTGATATTTTTTAAATATCGCTTCATGAATAAATTCCTAAGATCTTTACATATAATCTTACATATAATCTAAAGTGTAGAATAATATTATCAAACGGTTAGATTTTTTTATCTGAAATTAGACCATGATCGCGGATCGAATTACATTTTTGGCGTTAATCCAAGTTTGACAGTCGTGGCGATAGAAATATTATTTTCAAAGTTTTTGAATTTTGTAAGCATGGAATGAAATTAATTCAAATGAAGATGAATTTGATTTTTTATTATTAAATAACGAAATTATTTCTATTCATTAAGAAATTGACGATAGAAAGAAAGAAAATAGTGATAAAAATAGAGATGTAGTATAAGAAAATGGAAAATAAAAATAATAGACAGTGAATGTGAGAGCACAATATTAAAATTGTAAGGTTTGCTCTCAATAAAATAAGAAAAGTAAAAGACATTAAACGACATTTTATTGTGATACTTGACAAACCGAGGATGTATCTTAGTAATTATTATTAAAATATCACACAAAACAACAATATAGACTTTAATATTCAATAAATTTTTTATATGTAAAGATACATAAAATATTGAAATATAAAGCTTAATTTGTGTGTAAAATTATTTTAAGTTAGCTAAAAATTCATGAACGAGAAATCATTTGGAGTTGGTTCGAGCGAAAAAGGCTTGGAGCGCAAAGGGTTAATATCTTAAGAATATAATATATATATATCAAATTATTGATATTTATCATAATGATATCAATTATCATAAATTTATTATTCTTTTCATTACGAAGATAAAAAGTCTCAGAAACCATAAATTAAATTTTAACTGTTTTTTTTTAAAAAAGTTAAAGTTTTAATAATTTTTAAATTGACTTTATTTGCAATATATTATTAATTAAATAGAAACAACAAATACAGTAAATCATATTGTCTATCTATTATTTTTATATATTTATTATTTTGTTTATTTATATGTTATCTTAATTAAAATTAATCAAACGAAATTTTTTGTTACAATCTTTCGATTATAATATATGAGCTACGAAATGCATACTTCTTATTCATCATTCTCTTTCTAAATTAAAAGAATGAGATGCTAATATGAGATTGATAGTTTAATCATCTTCTATATTTCGAAATTTTAATTATTTTATTATTTTAATTAGTCAATCTATTCTTGATATTGAGTATTAAGAATAAAAAAAAACTGATTCTTGATATGAGTATTAAGAATAAAAAAAAACTGATGGCAGTATATAAAAATATTTGATTAATCTTATTGATAATGCAATAGGAAATTATTATTAAATTAACCATAAAATATATCAGAATTCAATAAGGATTAATGGAAGACTACTATACATACGAGCTTCCAAAACAAACCAACAATTTGATAATCAAGAATTGATATTGCAATATATTCATTTATATATGAAAAATTGTTTCTATATCCATTGATATAAAGAACAAATTATTGTTAAAACTTATTCATTGATAAGTTTGCGTCGAATAAGAATTAATTATGAAACAATGCGAATTCAAGAAAAAAATCTATAAAAATCATCATTTATAAAATTCTATGTATAAAATAAACAGAGTTATATCTATTCTGTGGAATAATTTTATGTAATTTATTTAAGAATAATATTAAAAATTAATATGATTATGAATATTGCAAAAATAATAAATTATATTTATTATTTGTCTGACAAATAAATGAGACTAACAATGTAATTCTCAATTCCTCTTTATATTGACGAAGTATCTTTGATTGAATTTTTTAACATAGAAAACTAAAAGTATCATTTTTATTTATGAAAGTTATTTATAAACAAATAACATTCTAGAAAATGTTTATGCTGTAACTTGTAATATTCAATGGTAAAAATTTTATTGAATAATAATATATATATATATATATATATATATATATATATATATATATATATATA